TATGTTATGCTGAAAAATGGCGTTAAACCCTACAACAAAAACAACAACAAGAAAACTATCAAGTATATACGACTATTCATCCTGCCATAGATCATGCATGAGTGCATTGTGTGTGTGTGTGTGTGTGTGTGTGTGTGTGTGTGTGTGTGTGTGATGGTTGAAAGGACGTTTTGTCATATCTGGCTTGTCATAGGTACAGTCGACTAATCCACTGTGGACCACACAGGATAATTGATATTTCATAAACTACAACACACTAATTAATATTCTATCAACTACAACACACTAATTACTATTCTATCAACTACAACACACTAATTGATATTCTCTCAACTACAACACACTAATTGATATTCTATAAACTACAACACACTATTTTCTGATATTTCTAAATTTTGTTTAGCATGCATAATTAAAAAGGATGTTTAATAATAATCTTAATAGGTCAATCACTATGCGATAGAACAGCAATGCCTTGGAGATATCTCAGTACATCGTTTTGATCTTAAACTGATTAGCCTTTTACAACTCTGTCAAGCATCACACAGTATTTCGAAATAGCTGGTTGTTTATAAGGCACCGTAGCGGGCTAAACCTGATCCAGTTCAAAATATACACTGTAAATCGTTGATATAGGGCATAGTACTTTAAACCACCACTGTATAATTCAACTTATAAAATCTAAACTCTCGATCTAGAAATGGAACTTTAAGGACATGCAATTTGATCTAACACGTGCTATCGGATTTCTCAACATAAACAATTTATATTTTAATTGCAACTTTCTCATTGTATATCATCTTTTGTCCGCTACGGCACCTCATATTTCCTCACATGAAATATCATCGTTACGTGAACCTCGTATGATGCGACAGAATTGCCTCGTGTGTTATTAGCTCTTCAGCTGTATTCCAAAGGACATGACTGAATCAACCCGATAATCTTTCAAACATAAATGTCCCTGACCTTGACAGCCAAGTTCGTGATCTATTGCAAAGGACACCTAATGTTGTCGAATCCTGAATCGAATCGAAGGGAGCCTTTTGGGCTTGTGGCGTGCATATACAGAGATGGCGTTTGCGAGAGAGTATCCAAAACATCGACCCCGTAGCAAGAACCCTGTTAAGGAAGCACAGTCTACAAAGCAGAAAATATGTCAAATTCTGTATGGCATGTTGATCCCAACCACTAGCTATTACAATGGTGTATCATTTTTACGGAATAGTGGACGGCAACAGCCGACAAATTACAGTTAGTATTGTAACTACAAATAGTAAACCATAGACTGTATTTCAAAATTTTGAGAAGTCAACGAATATGTATGGTATAACTGATCGCGCGAGAAAATGAATCCGTAAATGAATGATCATTAAACGTGGAGGCAGCAGTGGAAGATTTATTGTTGGCAGCAGTATTTACAATTATAGCGTGTAGAAACTATCGTTTAGCACTTAACAAAGTCGTCTCCATGTTTTACAGTGATCTATTTAAATTCATGGAGGAGTACACCTTGTTAGACTCAGATAACGAGAAAATATTTGTGCGTTGCATTATGTCTTTCTACTCATAATTCACACAACAGTTGACGCGTTTATTGGACAGTGAATCCACTATGACTAATTAATGGCATTATATCGTTCCCCACTAGAGTTTTGGAATGGTATTTGAATTTACCCAGACGATATTTACGATCTTGGCAACTGCGGCGTAGACTTCCAGGAAATACAAAAATTATATGTGATGGTTCTAATGAAATATTTGCTCCAAAAACAGATGTTTCCTGCCTAAACAGTATCTTCTGCTTCTTCAGACTCAGGTTAATCCTGTAACTGACGATAATATTTGTGGTTTCAACAGCTTTTGAAGGACACTGGACTTTGTCATGTCAAATTATTCTTCCCAAAAATATCTTGTATGAAATATAACGAAAGATAAATCATTTTATATTAGAATAAAAGTTAGCTTATTGCCAACAAAATCCTGCTTTCTTTTATTATTCCCCTCTTTATTTGCATGCATGTATATATGTCATGAATAATACCGGAAGAAGATTCAAGCGTTTAAAATTATATTTTTTTCAAGCATGCGAATCCACGGAGTACACTCTTATGCTGTTATGGAAATTTGCTTTTGGTCTGATTAAATATTATTACAATGTACACGATCTATGGTTTACCGCATAACACCAAAAATCCTAATATAACACCCTGTATCAAGTTAACTGTACGAAAAGACCCAATTTACTACATTCTTTTTTCTACACAAAGCTATAAACATAAAGGCATAACGTAGCATTTTCGATGATACCATCCCATTCGCTTTAGATTTGTAAAATACTTTTGAAAAGACTGTCTAGAAAAAGACAATCGAGTTAATGTTATATATGATATATTTTATTCTTCATTTAGTACTTGCCTGACATTAGTACTAATTTTTGCGCTATTTGCTATCTTAGAATTATACTCTTATATATCGTATATCTTAGAATTATACTCTTATATATCGTATATCTTAGAATTATACTCTTATATATCGTATATCTTAGAATTATACTCTTATATATCGTATATCTTAGAATTATACTCTTATATATCGTATATCTTAGAATTATACTCTTATATATCGTATATCTTAGAATTATACGATTAAGAATATATTATTTGTTTAGCAAAATCATAAAAGTAAGCAACCGTCTCTGCCATTTCATTTGTAATAACACAATACATATTAGGAAATATTCTTACATTTCCAAATAATTGATTAAAAATATAAATAGGTTTTTGAAATGGTTTTTCTTCTGCGTTTGTCTTTTGTTCATGGACGTACTATTTGAGAGATCAAAGAATATCAACATCTCTAGTTTACATCACTTGATTTTTAGAACATCTTGCATCGAATTTGCCTAGCAAAGATGAAAGATATTAAGACATTATATATATAGACAGAACATATGTCAAATAAATATCACAGCCATGGTTTATACACATTAATATTTTTTGTTTCTTCAACCGTCACCGCATTGTGATTTTGCGCTTATACAAAGTGATACATGATCACTTCAAATTACTCTGGTTTACTGAAGGCAATTATTCTAGCATTCTTATTTTAAAATTCCATTTAAGATTACGAAATGATGAAACTGTCTTTTTAGTACTAATAAGCCGTGTTCTAAAGGTAAATATGAAACGAAATAGTTAACTGATATGTTTCGTTTTAAGCATAACAATTTTCGCAAAGGACTGTTTATCTTCGAGTTTACACATCTCGAATCCAGAATCAATGATCTACAGGCAAAGGGATGTACTTATGTCCAAATCTTGCACTTGCTTCAGAATTAAAAAAGTATTTAGATAGCTTCATGCAAATAAGTGTTTTATTATTGGGTGGGGTCAATGATACCTTGAACGCCTTGTTGTATATATCATGAGGAAGAAAAGGAGATAAGTGCCTTTCCCAAAATCGACATAGGCTAAAATAAGCGGGTATAAAACCCGCGACCCTTGGATTACAAATACAATGCTCAATTAAGTGGGGAACCACTGCTCACATCATGCAAATATTCCAAATCTCAGGCACAAGTAGGCACATTCAAGAGATATGGAGAGAAAAAGGCCTTCCCAACCCCCAAAAAGAAAACAAAAATGATCGCTTACAAAGAGTAATGTTTCCCAGATTACATTTCTCTTTACTTGAGAAAATCTTTGTACATTTTTTGTCTACTAACATGAAAATCTAAAAGATTTCCAACGACATGAAGAGAAGTAGATCCTGGAGGAAGTGTTTAGGTTATCTGCTCAGGACAAACGTGTATATGATGATACAGAGCACCACAGCAATTAATAATACTTCAAAAGCTGTCATTTATTCCAAACTTGTGTGATCGGTATAGATTTCGTACCGCTTTGATAGCAATGCGTGCTTTTACACATTGGTCTGAGTACTAGTTTATGATCCAGTCCTGGTTTCTAGCCAGATTAGATAATTATCGGGTACAGTTTATTGCTTTTTGTATAAATTTCCTTAAGTACCACAATATGACCTCGTTCTTCCTTCACCCTACAAGGCCGCTGGCATCAAATACGTAATATATCACACTTTTCTGCCATTAATACTAATTTTTGCGCTATTACCTAACTTAGAATTATACTCCGCCAGTATAACATTGATGGCTACATCATGCCGAGGCAAAGGGAGATAAGTGCCTTTCCCAAAACACCTAAGGTAATCGACCTGGGCTGTAATGTGCGGATATCAAACACGCAACCCTTGGTTTACAAGTCCAATGCACAATTAAGTGGGGAACCACTGCTCCCATCATGCAAATATTCCAGATCTCAGACACGAGTAGGCACATTCAAGAGATATGGAGAAAAAAGCCTTCCCAACCCCCCAAAAAGAAAAAGAAATGAGCACTTACAAAGAGTAATGTTTCCCAGATTACATTTCTCTGTACTTGAAAAAAAAATTGTACATTTTTGTCTACTACCATGAATGTCCAAAAGATTTCCAACGACAGGAAGAGACGTAGGTCTTGGAGGAAGTGTTTAGGTGATCTGCTCAGGACAAACGTATATATGATGATACAGAGCACCACAGCAATTAATGATAATTTAAAAGCTGTCATTTCTTCCAAGCTTGTGTGCTCGAAATAGATTTCGTGCCGCTTTGACAACATGGCATGCTTGTACACCTTGGTCCGAGTTCTAGTTTATGATCCAGTCCTGGTTTCTAGCCAGATTAGATCATCATTGTTTACAGTTTATCGCTTGTTTGTATACAATTCCTTGAGTACCACAATATGACCTCGTTCTTCCTTCACCCTACAAGGCCGCTGTTATCAAATACGTACTTTGTCACACTATTCTGCCATTAATACTAATTTTTACGCTATTTTCTAACTTATAATTATGCTCAGCCAGTATAACTTCGATGGCTACATCATGCCGAGGCAAAGGGAGATAAGTGCTTTTCCCAACATGCCTAAGGTAATCGGACTGGGCTGCAATGTGCGGGTATCAAACCCGCGACCCTTGGATTACGAATCCAATGCTCAATTAAGTGGGAAACCACTGCTCCCATCTTGAAAATATTCCAAATCTCAGGTACGAAAGGGCGTCAGGGGGAGGGGATAAGGAAAAAGCATGCTCAATCACCAAAAAGAAAATATATGAGCGTGTACAAATCGTAATGTTTAATAGATTACATTTCTGATCTGATAAATGCTTACAATTGTGTCCTCGATATGCGTAAAATACAACCACTTCCTGGCTTTGCCAACTGGATCCCTACCAGGGGTTTTTACGCTTACACACCTCAACGAATTATTTACGCCACCCATAAACTATACTAAACATACGTAAATTATTTATGCAATTCAGCATGATTGGTTACTTATTTATATAGTTCTGAACTGACATCGACCGCTGGCAATAATATTGACTCGGCCATAATTGTAAATGTAATGGATCATGCATCGTCTGCACGAATTGACGATCACTTCCCCTGTTATTTGATACGTTTATCTTCAAAGATCCATGTACGTCTTTCAGACGTTAATAAGATTTTATATTTAAATGTACACGTTTGTTCTTTATACACCATTTAACATTTAATGAAGACTATGAAAACCAAGTATCATGAAGTCATGTATGTCATCTAGTATCACTTTTCAGCACGTTGATTTTAAATTTCAACGCTCTTATTTAAAGTTATAAATTTTAACAAAGCCTAACAATCAAACAATGAAATAAAACTCGAGTTCTAGGTCCAACGTTAGAACCAATGTTGTTATTTAAAAATATCTAAAAAAAATATTTTTGTTATATAAACCTTCGGGTGGGGGGCATAAGTTTTAACTACAACCTCATAACAGTGTGGTGAAAAATTGACAAGCGTAAGTTTAACGGTTGTCAAGCAATAGAGCATAGAGCTCTATTTTTTTTTTAGGTCTTTAAGAAAAAATATCCTGATGTTCAAAATCATCACTACTGAGTTCACTGGCATTTCTTGAAGACCAGTTTTATAACTATTTGAGCATCTGTCATCTACAAATCATGGGACGAAAGTTTATGTTGACATTTCTGCTGTAGATAATCTGTTCGTTTATACTTTTTGAAAAGTAGTATCCTTTATCTTATAAAGGTTTCTCTCATCATACAAGCAAAACAACCCACTCTGTCTTTGTATTCTCTGGATATTATTTATATGTATCAAATAACATACTTCAACAAACATGTAAAACAAATTTACGATAAATAGTTTCATCATTATTTATCATCATTTCACCATAAATTACTAATAAATGGTGGTCAATTATTGCTCACGTGATAGTTGTGATTGTTCATCACGGCACCATAAAATGGACACAGTCATACACATTCAGAGAGTGTTTATAATTGTCATTGTACTAATTTGTATAGTTTTTATCAGATAAAACAGATAAGACACGTCTTTGTTGATATCATCAGTGGTATGACGTACGATTAAATGGATTTTCTGTTTTCAAGGTCTTTAACTCTAAAAGGTACAAGATGAATTTTGCTACACTTGATTTTGTTTGAGGTGGGGTTGCTACCATTTTGTCAAAAGAATCGACCCTATACGGAGGAGTAATGGGTTTACTCTAAGTTACCTCACCCTACTTATCATATTTTGATATAATGTAATAGATATTAGCACTGGTACACGTATTTATACTTGAAACTAGCTTTTCAATGTTGCATATCAACATACAATTGTCATTTGCAAAACAAAACCTGACCCTCAAACATGTATTTTGGAAATCATTGAGAACTTCCCCATATACCCAGTGTGACAGATTGGCGGCGTGCAAAACACACCAACCTCTTTCACTACGGTTCGTTGCTAGGGAATGACCTCCGCGGTGTGATTTACCCAGTGTGGATAGATAGAAAGAAGGAAGCAGATCACTGAACAAGTATATTGAGGAAATAAACACTACGAGCCCCCTTTCAAAGAAACAAATATAAAATTTAATCAGATTATAAACAGAATTTAAAATGAAAAGAAATCAATGACTTAGCTACAAAGAAGGAAAGAATGGTACTAACATGTACTCAAATAAAACACAATACAAATTTCTTTAAATATAAAATTACTTTCACGTTAAATTGCTATCATCATTGCCAATGGGATGTGACCTCTGAGTGTAACGATGAGAGACTTCATCACCTAATTTATGCAGACATCAAGACTTCCGTTCGTCCCTGCTTGTCGATTTTTGTCTAGCTTTCGTCTTGGACTCTTGTCCGTCTAACTCTGACTTAACAAACGTCTCTGGACTTAGATTTCTGCGTAGAATGTGTTCCCGTCCTAGGATTGTTCAGGGATTCCGTGTCCAGGAAGCTGTTTCCTTCAATAAATAAAAATGTCTCGCAATAGACAATAGGTCACATTCCCAAGTAGATATATATTTTTACATTAATTCGGCTCAGAAACAAAAGGCATAAATTCTGCCGCAGTAACTTCTGTTAGCTAACTGTTATGTTTACATAAACGGTCGATGCTTGTCCTGACCTTAATTCGGGTCACGTTAGGGATGGTCACTTAAATTCAACTCAGCCGTATGAACCCGTATGTAACCCCCACTCGACTTCTTGCTCTGTTAAGTTACATGTGGCTTAGACCTCCAGATCTAACTATTCTAAAATAGTTTACTCGACCAATTAAATATTACAAACTAGCATATAGATATACACTTAAGTGATCAATTAAATATTACAAACTAGTATATGAATATACATGCAATGTTAGGTCATACTCATTTTAGACAAAGAGTACTCATAAAACTATGAAATATTACCCATCATTCCTTAGATCATTCCTGAAAATTCATAATCACTCCTATGTATTAAAGATTCAATTACATGCAATCTTTCAACTAATCTAATGAAATTTTAATTACATTCACTCTTGCCAATTTTCCAAATGAATTGATAATTAGAAAATCAAAGAATAAAATGCCATGACTAGCATTTCACTAAAATCCTGCAAAATGAAATAATACATACATACGTCATATCAAGAATACATTTGCAAAATAGATCAACAAATGAAATAACATATTAAAATCGGGAAACTAAGATTGCGTACCTTTTTGCCGTTTCTTTATGTTTCCACGAACCTCACGTATAGGCCGTCTCCTGAGAGAACTATCCGGCCCCTTACTCAATACGAAAAACGTACTTTTTACGAATTTCGGAGTCAACTAACTTTCCTTGCGAAAGATAAGATCGAAGACACTAAAGAATTTGCCTAAAGTGAAAACCTTTAATTTCGTACATAGTTACGCCCATAAATCCATACTAACCAATCGGAATAGACAGTTTCCTAAACCTGTTCGTAGAATTATTGGAGTGACAAGAAAACTAAACAACTAATCATGCCGTAATTAATCATTTTCTTTGAGCTATCATCTAAAGCCAGATGCCGCCTTTAACCCTGCCGATTTTGGGGAAAGGTCTTATGTCATTCTCTTGTAGCATAGCATCTGACTCGGTCATGTTACTTCGTCTAGAACGAATTCCCTTTTGACGTTCAGAGATGAAATGAAAAATAATCACCTAACTATCTCTAGCCCTTTCTACTTTAATTAAGTTGACTTTGATACAATTCCTTTAAACAAAGCTTCTAAGATTTTCAAAATTCGACACATCACACCCAGAAACACTTTTGCAAAAGGTAGGGAAAAATTAGGGATACTTTTTGTAGAATAAAATTATTCCGGAAAGTAGGGGACAATTTGGATATTTTATAATGCAAAATGGTATAAACATTAAACAGAATACTGAAAATTAAAACCCGTCCTTGTCTTACCTTTGTATACTTGAAAAAGTAGTGTCCTGACATACTATGTGTCTTTTTAATCCAGGTCTGCTTCTATCTTCGTAAGCATTAAACTCCACATGATAGAGACCATATCTGAATTCTTAGTTCAATACCGATGTTCATGTAGTGCGTAATTGATTTTCAACATAAAATTTAAAAAGCATGGAAAGAATAGCCAGTTGGGAAACATTGTGTAAAAATATAGGAATAGAAAGGACCTCCAGAAATACTGATATATTCTTTTCCTATATTAATACTAAAGATATTTCATTATGTGGTACAAAAAAAAATCCACAAAATTAAAAAAGTCAATTTGAATTATCCTGACTTTGCTATTTGATACACCATTCAACATTCTCGGTATTGAAATGTCAGAAATTTGATTACAGATTAGCCGACCACAATTAATAAAATAATATATGTTCAAAGTTAATAACGAATTTTTTCCTCAATATTTGCATGTTATCTATATATCTTAGATGCTTTAATTTTTCTCATTCCATAAGCTTTCTAGAAGATGATTGCTTTTGTAATGTGGACAGCTTCTTGACCAAACTCGTTCAGTTGTGATAATATATTATTTACTCTGTAAATACATACATGGCCAGAGAGCTTATGGAGATAGGTTTCTTACTATGCTTGTGCAGCATTGGCTGAACCGAAATTAATATTTTGAAATGACTATAGATATAAATTGACCACCATCTGGTAACGCTGTACCCGGTAACAGACCATACGAATATTTTCGTTTATAGATAAAGTGGTGGCATTAAGTACACACATTTCCATGACAGTTGTTAATAATTCCTTAGGTATAACCGTAACATTAGTTTTGGATTGGTGCTTTACGGCACAGACAGATAAGTAGATAATTTATTGCCCTAGTAACTGGAGGACACACCTCTGGACTTACCCTGGTTGGTCCGGTGGCAGGAATCGAACTCGCACCCTTCCAGTCGTGAGTCTGCCATGTTAACCCCTAAGTCACAGCAACTCCCTATTTTCTCACTCCAAACAATTAATAGAAACTACTTTAAAAACGATATTTATTTTACTCAAAAAGAGTAAAATGAAACTAAAACGTTTGTGCAATGGATAAGAATTTACAAATAATTAAAAGTATTGCTAAGTAAAAGAAATATTTGTAATTGCAAGTAAAAGGAAAGTAATATTTTATTTAGTAATTATTTTACTTATTAAATTATTACTTAGTAACTATTCAACTA